AAAACTAATTTTTATTAATTTATATATATTTTAAATTTTTTTCACGAATATTTATTTTTCAAATTTTGTGGGATCGCTTCGGAATACCTTACAGAAACAAATATTTTGTAATGTAGTCCTCGCTAAGTCCTCAAATTCTCAAAAATAAATATTCATTACGAAAAAATTTTTATAACAACTATGCAATTTCTCAAAGACACATTTAATGAATTCCCAAAGATCACTTGGCCAGCACGTGACATGACTATCGGGCACACGATCATCGTTATCGTATTGTGTGTATTGGTCGGATACTACCTTGGATTTTTTGATGGACTATTTTCTAAACTTCTCCAAGCGATTATTAACTAATTATACCACCCACCGCTTCGCGGAGCCCTCCGTGGCAGGAGGGCATATCCCCTCCTGTTTTAGGAGGGGTGCCCATAGGGCGGGGTGGTATTTCTCACTATGTCAAAACAAGAAATACACAAGGGTCGGCATTGGTATGCGATCCATACCTATGCTGGATATGAACATGCAGTAGAGCGTAACCTCCGTCAGCGTATTGAATCACTCGGTATGCAGGATAAAATTTTTAACGTATTGGTTCCTACTGAAAAAGTAGTTAAAATCAAGCATGGTAAAAAGGTTGAAGTAGATGAAAAATTCTATCCAGGATATGTGCTCGTAGAGATGGAGGTAACCGAGGACTCGTGGTATGTCGTGCGTAACACGCCACGCGTAACAGGATTCGTAGGTTCAGGAACTGCAGCAGTACCGATGCTCCAGAGCGAGGTAGATGCCATCCTGGCGCGTATGTCACAGGACAAGACTACCTCAGCTGCAGTATACGGCATGGGAGACTTGGTAACCGTAACTGATGGACCGTTCAAGGACTTCGAAGGTAAAATCCATGAAATAGACCACGACAGGACAAAGGTTAAAGTATACGTAAACATGTTCGGACGTGAAACTCCAGTAGAGCTGGATTACACTCAGATTAAAAAGGCGTAAAAGCCTTTTTCTGTACACGGTTTTTAGTTGAGAGTGTCTTTTTTATTGTGGAGCTCTTAAAACAACGAAATACTTGACAAATATCTATTTAATGATATACTCCTTTTGAAGTATCTTTAGCAATCATTGTTAGAAATACATAACTATTTTTTAACCCTTAAACAATAAAAAATTGAACACAGAAAATTTAATATTTCCAATTGACGAATATAGACAAGAGATCGTCAACACTATTAGTACAAACCAGGTTACAATAATTGCAGCTGAAACAGGCGCAAGAAAAACAACTGGCGTACCACAATTTCTTTTAGAGGATACGAACTACAATATTGTAGTCACGAACCCGCGAGTACTTTCTACAATTTCTGTAGCAACCTATGTTGCACAGCAGATGAATACCGCTGTTAGCGGGGATCTTGTCGGGTATTGTACTGCATCGTCTCGTAAAACATCAAAGAATACCAGATGCTCATTTGCAACAGACGGCCTTCAGCTCATTAGAGAATTAACCCTCTCTAAAAAAACCCTTTCCAAGGGTGTTGTCCTCATTATTGATGAGATCCATGAATGGAATCTCAACATTGAGACACTTGTAGCCTGGGTACATATGCACATACAGGATGGTTCATCTGTTAAAGTGGTGTTGATGTCTGCTACTATGGAGACAGAAAAACTGAGTGCATTTTTTGAATATGCTCCAGTTATTTCAGTACCAGGGAGATGTTTCCCTGTGCATGGTTCTCCGGACACAGGTATTCGTCAGGTTGGCGCTGGAGCTTTGATTGATGAAATCAAGGTATCGGTACAATCAGGCAATAATACATTGGTATTTGTCCCAGGAAAAGGTGATATATCAAGGTTACAACATGAACTTGAAAAATTATCTCTCCAGGCAGTTATCCTCCCACTTCATGCAGAGCTCGAACCTGCTGAACAACAAAAGGTTTTTAAAGGATATCATCTACCAAAGGTGATTATCTCGACCAATGTCGCTCAGACATCGGTTACTATACCAGATATTGATATGGTAATTGATACAGGCCTCGAGAACCGTAAGGAGCTCGTAGGAAATGTCGAGACGATTATACTCGGGACTATTTCCAAGGCAGATTGTAAGCAGCGTGCTGGGAGAGCAGGGCGAACAAAATCTGGGCAGTATGTATTATGTAATGACACACTGTACGAAGATTACAACGAATACCCTGTTCCCGAGATCAAAAGATCTTTACTAGATCAAGTAGTGTTACGTCTGGCAGGTGCTAACATTGACGCAACAAAACTACAGTTTTATCACCAACCTGATAAGTCGATACTCCTTGAAGCTAAGGATACCTTGATTAAATTAGGCGCCTTAAATCATAATGGTAAAATCACTGAATTAGGAAAAAAAATAAACAAATTTCCTATAGATGTGGTTTCTGCCAGAATGGTTCTCGCCGGCATGGATTACAAGTGCCTGGGCGCTATTGTTAGAATCGCTGCAATACGAAACTCTCGTGGTGGTAGCCTGAAAAGGAGACCTAAAGCTGACGATCCAGTTTATTATAAAGATTGGTCAGATCTATTAAGTCCTCGTAAAGAGTACAAGTCAGATTCTCTAGTAGAATTAGACTTGTTTCACAAGGCAGAAAAGATGCACTTAAAATCCCTCAAGCCTAACGGGCTGTCCCTACAGTCTTTTCATCAGACAAGAGAAATAATGGGGCAAATTTACAAAGTGATAAAAAGTATGGGGTATAATGCGCATCTTTACAACGAAAATGCAAATAATACAGATTTTATTTGTAAGGCTATTATATCTGGTATGATACACCAAGTATATAAAAAGTATTGGTTTAGTTCCTTTGTAGAGGCTCAAAATCCACTAGCTGGATTTCGCAATGTTTTTAGAGGTTCCAAGGTAAACACTCTTGGTTCTGAAATAAAACTAATAGTTGCAAAACCATTCAACATACGTACCAGAAAAGGAGGGCATACTATCTCGCTTATTAAAGACATTACCGTCATTAAACTTGAGTGGCTTGCTGAGTTAGGTATTGATCCGGTATTATGTGGACTCATGCCCGCCTCTATAGGGGTCGTCCCGCACGGTACATCTGAGATTACTGTTGGATGATGTAAAACTTAATCATTAGTAAATCCAGGATGTTTCCTGGATTTTTTTATAAAAACAAGCCACTTTTATAAAAGTGGCTTGTTTTAGTTTATTTTACCTGAGCAACAATTCTTTCGAATGAAGCCATGTTATCCATAGCAATAGTTGAAAGGATTTTACGATCAACGGTGATGCCTTTTTTGTGGAGCATATCGATGAACTTACTGTATGAGAGCCCGAGTGGACGAAGTGCAGCGTTAATGCGGATAGTCCAGAGACGGCGCATGTCAGCTTTTTTGTCTTTACGGTGGTTAAATGCATGAACGCCTGCTTTAGTAATAGCTACCTTTGCGGCACGTTCTGTTTGAGAGCGGTGGAAACGATATCCTTTTGCATCAGCCAATACACTACGGCGACGCTTGAGAGCGTTTACTCCTTTTTTTACACGTGACATAAATAAAAAGTTAAAAGTTAAAAGTTAATAAGTTGAGATTAGTTTACAAGTCCTGGGAGGAAGCGCCCCATGGTCTTTGCTTTCATTTCAAAGTTCTGAGCAACTTTACCGTTTAGCTGAGTACTACGAGACTCTTTGGCGTTAAAGTGGTTTTGACCAGCTTTGCGAACCTTGAGTTTACCAGTACGGGTAACCTTGATTCGTTTTGTGTATGATTTGTTAGTTTTCATAAAAATGTTGAAATTAATAATATTTAGTAATACAACAAAGTGTATAAAATAGGTGAAAATGTACTATTTTTACAGTTTGTTACTTGATGCGTTCAATAGTAACCACAATACCTTTTGGACTGTCTTTTGGTCCGTCTACTACACGATGAGGTGTTGCAATGGTTGCAAGGATACGCTCTAGGCGCTCTTGCAAGAAAGATTTCTCCATGTATTTGATACGTCCACGAAGGAACAGCTCAACCTTGACGCGATGTCCATCGGCTAGCCACTCCGAAGCTTTGGCTCCTTTGATAGCGAGGTCATTTTCACCGGTACCTACCTTGATCTGTATAGATTTTACTTCAGATGCTGCAACAGAAGATTTGGTTTTAATCTTTACCTCTTTTGCTTTTTTAGACTGAGAGTATTGGAACTTTCCATAGTCAATGATTTTAGCAACGGGTGGTACAGCCTCAGGCGATATCTCAATAAGGTCAAGTCCGAGCTCACGAGCTTTTGCTAGTGCGTCTTTGGTACTCATAACACCCAGGTTTCCGAGGTCATCAGAGATAACACGGAGTTCTGAGGAGCGGATAGCTTCGTTTATGCGGTTTTGTTGGTGTTTTATCAAGGGAATTGAGAATATTATTGCAAGAAATTGCATTACTAATAATACGCCCTACTATATACAAATCCAGAAAAAAGTCAATAAAACTAAAGACCCGAGATAGGGGGGCGGGCGTAGCCCGCCCCCCCTATCTAAAAAGTTTTCCACAGTTTTATAAAACAGTACAATACAACCACTTGATTATTTTGTCAATAGAGTATATAATTAAAAACATTATGACTACATTTAACCCAAACAACATTGCTAGTAACCCACCAATAAATACCTGGGAAAATCTCAAGGGTATCCTTTCGTCACGGGAAATTATTGAATCAACGACTATTTTATCTGACCTTAAAACAAAGGTAACTAACCCAGATAAATTAAAAATAGTTGAAAAACAGCTCTTGGATTTCTCTCTCTTAAAACTTAAACGTGAAGAACTTGCAAGTTTAATGAATCAACGAGCAGAAAAAGAATCAGAATGGAAAAATGCAAAAAATAGCTTAAGTAGTGCAGAGCTTCAAAAATTAGAACAACAGATAGATGAGCTCGGCGCACAAATTACAAAAATAGAAAATGAGCGAACACAACTTGAAAATGCAATTGTTTCTGTAAAAACTGAGATTCTCTCTATTCAAACAGGTACCACAAATAATCGTTCTGCGGTAGATCAGATTTCACGGCAGTATGCGACGAATCCAAACGCACAAGGACCTGTTAACACAGCGGCGTCGTCGACATCAGAATCCAGTATCCCAGGAGCTTACGCAGTATCTCGTTCAAAAGCTGATATGTCAGGAGGAAGCACTTCGCAAATCGAGAGCTCTACACCTCAAAAATC